GCATCATGAAAATGATACATCAATAACATTCTACACTTCACAAGACGATGTAACTTGTAAGATGAGCTTTTATTAAGCTTTGTCACAGACCATTGGATTTAAGCTCTTTATTACTGCATTTTCACTGACTGCTGTTATAAAATAAATGTTTCAGTTTTCTAAATGCTGCAAATGAGTCCACAGTGTTTCTTAAAGCATCAGCTAGGAAGGATGTGATGAGGTCGTTTGCAAAAAAAAACAGGTTTTATTTATTTATTTTCAGAAATTACTTATGCAGTTCTGCTCTTCAGCACTAGGAAACTGCAGCTCGAGTCATTTCAAAAAATCGTGAATATTTTTAATACACAACATAAAAACATTATGTCTGAATGTTACTGAAAAAATTAACTAAAGAACTAAAAAGGGTTCCTAAAAATATTCTATAATAAGCATAGTAAGTTGCTGTGTCTGTTTAGATTACACTTGCTTGGCTTTCAAGTCGCAAAAGTGCTTTCACTTGCATGCATTAAAAATTCATGATAGATACTATTGCATGTAACAGAACTCCTATTCAATAGTCTTTTTTTTATAAACTACCAGACTAGCTAACGTTGCAAGTCTTTTTTCAGTCTGGTCATGAAAATAAACACCATTATATTGAATAAATACCATATTTTTGTCAGTCAATTATATTTAACGTTTTGCTTGTCTTGCATTTATATCATAAATATGTGCATAGTGTATATAGACGTTTTGTTTATAAAATATGCCTTTTATTTGTTTTGTTTTTTGTTACTTTTTTTATGGCCAGAATTGTTGCCTCAGAGCTCAAATGATTAATAAAAATGTGGTTAACAATTGCCATATGATTTTTATAATATATTAAGTAATGAAAATGTGTGGTGTTTTCCTTCTGTGCATCCATTGTAATCATGTCTGGCAAATCTGTGTCTTTATTTTTGTCAAAGTTTAAAAGCAGGGTTTGGGTTTGTTTGCACCAAGATACAATCAGTACAATGCTGTTTAGTCAGTATGAATCTTTTTAGGTTTTCAATGTAGTTTTTGTGCCCGAAAAGTTGGACTAAACAATGCCAGTGAGTTTTTTTTTTTTTTTCTTTCTTCTATTAAATCATTAGTGTTCATAAACTAACTCTATTACATTGTTACAGCTTCTGGTCAATCTCTGGTAACCAATATGTGGATTTGTCTGTATGACTCATCATCCTTTAAATCTGTTTTTCCCCATGGTTTTGCAGTTATATACCAGGCATTGGCGTAATAGCCAAATTTTACCAAATAAAGCAGGGTATAAAACTTTGGTAAGTCACTGCAATACATTATACACATCTCCTTCACATAAAGATTCTGAAATCAGCACAGATCTGTGTTGTTTACTTGCTAAAATCTTCCTTGTACAGTAGATTGGTTATTTTAAAAACGCTGAAGAATAAGTCTGATTAAGCGTAAATAAATGTCTGCATGTCATACCAATCTTTTTACGCTAGATGGCAACATTGAACAATCTTTAAATTAACTCCAGCAGCGTGACAAAAGGTAAATTTGCCCTTGAGAAATACAGCATGTCTTACGTAGAAACACATGAAATCATGTAATGGTGATGTACAAACCTGCCTGAGCCTTACATCATGTTACCAGCATCAATACAACTCTGAAAATAACAAAGTGCAGATGGAGTAATAATTACACTATAAGAACAGACAAACACAACACTACAATAATTATATAAGCATTAACGTAAATAAAATCTGCTACATACAGAACATTTTGAATAAAAAACTACTTTAAATTATTTTGGGGAAAATCCTTTTTTTTTTTAGGTGATATGCAGGTTTGCTTTTTTATTTTTATTTTTTTAGAATATTCAGATTCTTAAAATGTAACAGTTACAAAGTAATCTAAACATATTTTGCAAAAAAAAAAAAAAAAAATATATATATATATATATATATATATATATATATATATATATATATATATATATATATATATATAAATATTTTAATATATTAAATGCTCATAATTTCCCATAATTGCAGTTGCCATTTATTGATTACAAGTCTACTAAGTCTATTGCTGTAATTCACAATGTATTGTTCAGTCTCCAATTCTCAATTAGTTTTCATTTATCTAATTGATTCTCCTTATTTTTTTTATAAAATTGAATCTCCACACAATTATACTTTGTTTGATTTTGAATCTTCAGAAAATATGACCATTACGCCTATTGTTACTTGAAATACTTCGGAGGTCATATGCTTTGGGGTCAAATCAAATACAGTTTAACTCAGAATTATTCGGCCCCCTTTGATTTTTTTATTATTATTTTTTTAATAAATATTTCCCAAATGATGCTTAACAGAGCAAGGAAATTTTCACAGTATTTCTGATATTTTTTCTTCTGGAGAAAGTCTTATTTATTTTATTTTGGCTGGATTAAAAGCAGTTTTATTTTTTAAATCCAGTTTAAGGTCAAAATTATTAGCCCCTGTAATCTTTTTTTTTTTTTTTTTTGGATAGTCTACAGATCAAACCATCAATATACAATACACAATATACAACTTGCTTAATTACCCTATCCTGCCTTAACTTAATTCACCTAGTTCAGCCTTTAAATGCCACTTTAAGCTGTATTAATGTGTCTTGAAAAAATAATTGAGTAAAATATTATTAACTGTCATCATAGTAAAGATACATGAGTCAGTTATTACAAATCAGTTATTAAAACTATTATGTTTAGGAATGTGTTGAAAAAAAATCTTCTTTCCGTTAAACAGAAATTGAGGGGAAAACAGGGGGCTAATAATTCTGACTTCAACTGTACATAAATTAATTTACAAACAAATACTCTAAAATAATCCAAAAAATAATTCAAATAGCCTAGTCTGTGTTACTTGCTACAGTTTTTTATTTCCAAATGTAACTTGTGGTTGATCAATGGCAGAATGTGTATTAGAATAGCCCAAAATAAGCTATTTTACCAAGCATAATTATATCCTAATTTACTACATTTTTTTATATGGTTTGTCCGATCTCCATTTAAGAGAGATCTTGAACCAGTCAAAACGACCAAAATCTCTTTTTCATCTAAATAATGATAACAAATCAAGGCTAAATGGGTAAACAAAAAGAAGTGTACCCTGATTTCAAAGCAAGGCACTGTGGTGATAAAGCGTATACGCATTTACTCCACAGACAATGCAGAGAGTCGTGGCTGTGGTCTGTAGTAAAGGCGGAATATGATTCAGTGGCTCATCGTCTATGCAGCTCACGCGCAGGGGAGGGAAGACCCCTCTCTCTCTCTCTCCACCGGACGCCCGCGCACATCCGTGAATCACCCGCGCTCCTCCCTCAAAATCACGGCTCTACTATAAGAAACACGCGTGATTCTCCGAGGCAAACCCTCCCCGGCCTGACGTCACTCATTCACATAAATAAGGGCTCCGTCTCACCGGAGATCATAAGAGAAACCCTCGGCGAAGAATAACGGAGTAAAGCGGAATAACCAACTGGAATTTTTGACATTAAACGAAGATTTTATAGACGCTCAAATGTAAGTGTCATTTTCATATCTTATAACTCTGTTTCCAGCTATTATTTTTAATGTTATTAGTTGTTAAAGGCTAGTAGTAGTTGTCTTTAACTGTAGAACATATAAGAAAGTGTTAAATTATTAAATATAGGCTACAGTTATTATAAATATAGTTCTACACAGACAGGTTTGGAATCATGACTTTGAACAAAGGAGACAAGTTGAGGAACATGGATAAGAGGAGAGGTAGCATGCCGTTTCCCCTGCACCTGCAGACTCTGCATCGGAGAAGTATGCCGGTGGACGACCGGGAGTTGCGCTCGATGCCCGCGGCTCAGCCCAGCGAACTGCCCGGCCTCATGCGCTTCAATGCCGACAGGAACAGCTGCGTGTCGGACTCCTCAGACTCGGTCATCTCCTCCGGCAGCGACTCGGACGGACAGGTCTACAAGGTGGTCCTCCTGGGCGAGCACGGCGTGGGCAAGTCCAGTCTGGCGAGGATATTCGGTGGAGTTGAAGACAGTAACGACTGCGAGGAAACAGGTGAATGTCTTGATTGTTTGATGTCAATTTTTATTCATTTCAGAAGACTTAATAGCCTAACAATTTTTTTTCAGGCAGCATCTAATCCATTTTACATACTTAAATTTATGTATTGTGTCTTCATTTTAGGAAACACATATGACAGATCTCTTGTGGTTGATGACGAGGAGACGTCCATCCTTCTGTATGACATATGGGAACAGGTAATGGCCATTTGCTATAGTAGTTCATTTAATAAATGTAAATAATTTGATTAAAATATAAAAAGTTAAATAATACACAAAATAATGTTATAATATAAACATATACATTATTAAGACGAAGCCTATATAAATTTACGTATGTACATTTTTGGGGTCTGTGGATTTATAAATAATAGTTGAGTATATATAACTAGTTAAAATGTTTTATGTTTTTTTTTTCCAAAATTAGAATAAATAAAATAACTAAACAGATACCATGTTTTCATGCATGTCTAGTTAACACTAAACCATTATTTAAACTTCAGAAGAGTTTGCAACTCAATCTTTGGTTGAGTTGCCCCAAATTTAAATCACAAACCCTTTGTTATGTTGACCAATTAGCATTTTCTAGGGAGGAAAAAGGGAAAAGCTCTAAATGTTTATACTTTTTTAAATGAAATTTGGAAGAACTATTTTGAGACCTTTACAGAATGAACCTTTTTTTTCCTCAGCTGTATATATGCACACACATTAGCATTACTTGTAATTGATATTAACACTGCTTACATGTATTTCTACAGGATAACAGCCAGTGGCTGCAGGATCAGTGCATGCGTATGGGAGATGCCTATATCATCGTGTACTCGGTGACAGACAAGTCCAGCTTTGAGAAAGCTTCAGAGCTCCGAATCCAGCTGCGCAGAGCTCGTCAGTCAGAAAACATCCCTATTATCCTAGTGGGGAACAAAAGTGACCTGGTGCGCTCCCGGGAAGTTTCTATGGATGGTAAGATTCCACCCTTATATACAATTTATAGCCTCTGCACTCATTATTTGCAGCTAAGAGCTCAAACAATCCAGTCTAAAAATGTTTTCCATAGCAGAATTTAAAAAAAAAATTCCGTATGCAAGAAAAAATTTCTTTAAAGAACTCTTCTCCAAAAATTATGGTGTTTTTTCTATGGCATCACTGGAAAATGCTACTTTTGTAACCCTTATTTTTTAGAGTGTAGTCATATTCTAGTTGTTGTGTATAAAGAGCTCCTGTCCCTCGAGATTTAAAGAGCAGAAAGCATAGTAATGTTGACAGTGTAGCTTGTGTCCCTCTGGTGATGGATTTATTGCTCACCCTCATCTCTTTTTCTGGTCTCTCTAGAGGGCAGTGCCTGTGCCGTTGTATTTGACTGCAAGTTCATTGAGACCTCAGCCTCGCTGCATCACAATGTGCGTGACCTCTTTGAGGGCATCGTACGGCAGATTCGCCTGCGCAAAGACAGCAAAGAAGAGAACGCTCGTCGCATGGCCAACTGCAAGCGGCGTGAGAGCATCAGCAAAAAGGCCAAACGTTTCCTGGGCCGAATGGTGGCCCGCAAGAACAAGAAGATGGCCTTCAGACAGAAATCCAAATCTTGCCACGACCTTTCAGTGCTATAAAAACAATACAAACAAACTGGACTAATATGCCATCTGATACCCACGACCAGAAGCTGTGTGTTTTTAATGCTAATATGAGGACTATTTAGCTGTACAGACAAATACGAACTTGTTTTGTAAACCGAAGAAGAGATTATATATGAAACAAAACTGACAAGATCATGTTGTGTTGACCGGCATGAGGCTTTTTATTGTTGCGTTACCTTTTTCCTTCAGTGTTTTGCGGCCTTAATATGTATAGTTGTCAAGATTCTGTGCATGTAAATTAGGAGGTGATTTCACAAATCACAATGTTACCTGTGGAGAGCTGTGGTTAAGATGGCACAAAGGCGCGTTTATTTGCCTTGTGTATTTCTGTATCAGAGGAGGAACGAGCACAAGTCATACTTCTGGTTGAAACAACATATGGAATCAAATGTTACTTGAAACTGAGTGCGCAGGTTCGTAACTCAGCCAAGACACTGAACTCGATGCTTTTGGGTTTTGTTGGGGGTGGGATGGGATGGGGGTTGGGCAAGAGGCAATATAAATGCATTTCGATATAAGACGTCTGACATATTAAGTTAATCTGACATCTATGCTCCATGTGCAAATGAATGACATAGAAGCAATAAATAATGTGTTGTGAGCTGTTTCTAAAACGTTTGATTTGCACTTAATGCCATTTAATATGATTGAGTTGTGAATTTTGTTACATGTTTACAATGGTTTTATAATAAAATAAACGATGCAATCTCTATTTTGTTGTGGCTGCTCTATGTCTGCAAATGCAGAATACACTTTACGACTTGAGGTTATAATGCCATGTAATTTATTCCCCCACACATATGCAAGCTAGAGACTTGCTAATCAGTTGAATAATTAGAGGAAACAAGTATTCTCAGACAATTAAGGAGGGTAATCATTAATCAGTTACAAAGCAGATGCAAAGCTTTTCTAACACTTGAAGCTATTCTCAGTTTCACTCACGGAAAGTCTGGACACCAGGTAAGAGCTGCTTTCTTTAAACATCAGTGGTGTAAAGTAACAAATTACAAATACTCAAATTACTGTAATTGAGTAGTTTTTTTTTTTCACAGGAATTAAATTTACTAAATAGTTTTTAAAATGTTTACTTTCCTTTGAGTACATTTTTAGTGCAGGATCAGTATTTTTACTCCAGTACTTTCCTTCACCCTACAGTCACTACTTTATTTTTAATTGTCTAAGATGATTGGCTGAGTAGAAAAATTAGTCCTGTGATACCTGTCCAATTAAATCACACGTAAAAAGTAACAACCTTAAGACTGGGACTCTTTATAAATGCTGCAAACCATATGGAAGCGTTAAAAGGGTCCAAGAAAATGTCTAAAATCTTTACACGCATTGACCGAGAGACTGTATGTTTACTGTATGATGACTGAAATTGCCAAATGGCCTTAAACAATCACTAAATGCACTACAGAATGTTACATTATAATATTTATAATAATATTTACATACTTTTACTCTACTTGCACTGCATTTCTGGGCAAGTAATGGTACTTTTACTTGAGTATGATTTTTCAGTACTCTTTTCACCACTGTTAAACATATGAATTATTTTATTTTATTTATTTATTTATTTATTTTTTTGCTGTGTCGTTCACAGTGCATCAGAGACATTTGAAGATTTTATTTTTTTATTTTGCAGATTTTCAAATTGCGTTGCTAGTACACTCATATTCCAGTGTAAACCTGACAAATAAGCATCAATGCAGTGGTGATTTGGTTTATTGTCTATTTAAAAGCTTCAGTTAGGTATGTTTATCTCTGTGTATGGCGCTCAAAAGCCTCTTAGTGCCTTCTGAAATATTTTTCTAAAATAAGCTTTGTTTGTCAGGCATGTACAGTGCTCAGCATATATGAGTATCTGAAATCTCTCATTTAAATGTATTTTCTATAGGATGCTTTACAATATTATATTTGTGTATATATGGTAGTTTAGTCAGTATGAAGCAAAATCTGGAGCTAATCTAACAAAATAACTTACGATAATGGTTCAAAATTTAGTAGCACAAATTTGTATCTTAGGGAAAACTATAAAATACAAATTTTCAAAAATAGCAAAAATCAAGAGAAACAAAAAATATATATACAATTTAGCTGACATTTTGTAGTTGGTAATTTTTTTCTATATTTTTTCTTGAATTTAATTGTATTATCTTTTCATTTCTAAAGATGTTCTGTGACTAAAATATTATTTTAATAAATATATCTGTTTAATAAATATATTTTGTTCAAATGCACCGATATTTATATATATATATAAAACCCATATTTACTGAGAAATGGATGAAAATATTCATTTTCAAAATGGGGTGTACTCAATTATGCTGAATACTGTATGTAGGTTCAGTAATTTAACTTTTATGGCGAATAATACAATCTTTTTATTACCTTTTAAGTCAAAAAACCAAACATAAACAAGGGAGCCCAAGAAAAATCTGCAATTTTGAAGAGAAGATTTATTTTTTTGATGAGGTTTTTGGATCTGGACTCTTAATATTTTATTCATTTATTACTATATTTTATTGTATTGTCATAGCTAACTTGTATTCTGAGTATATTAGTGCATAGATTTTGAAGATTTTTTTTTTTTGTTTAAATAAATGCACAAAACAACCATAGCCAAAATCCTGTTCCTATATAAGCAGTAACTTGACCCTTGACGTGATGTTACATTAATGAAGTGTACTCGTGTTGAACATTAACTGAAGGAAAAAGTTGTCTGATGGCAGGCTTGCTTTTTTCACTCAGTCTGTTACTTTGGCTCTTATAGGGTGCACTCAGTGTTTCTGGTATTCAAATGTATTAAATTATGTGTACACATTTGCATCATGTAAACTGTTAACATACGAGTCACAAGTGGCTCTTTATAAATGTATCTGTTTTTTCCAGTAGTGGAAATCCCTTCTAAGTTGAAAAACCAAAATATGTGCAGGCTGAAAAATTACTTTGAGGCAAAGCATGGAATGTCATATGATGTTTTATGTTGTTGTTGTGGGCAGCACCGTGGCGCAGTGGGTAGCACAATTGCCTCACAGCAAGAAGGTCGCTGGTTCAAACCCCAGCTGAGCCAGTTGGCATTTCTGTGTGTATTTGCATGTTTTCCCCGTGTTTCCTCCGGGTGCTCCGGTTTCCCCAACAATCCAAAAACATGTGCCATATCGCTATAGGTGAATTGAATTAGCTCAATTGACCGTAGTGTATGTGTGTGAATGATTGTGTATGGGTGTTTCCCAGTGATGGGTTGCAGCTGGAAGGGCATCCGCTGCGTAAAACATATGCTAGATAAGTTGGCGGTTCATTCTGCTGTGATGACCTCTGATTAATAAAGGGACTAAGCCGAAAAAAAAATGAATGATGTTTTTGTTTTCTTTCTTATAGTCAGACAGTTACAATGGAATATGTGAGCACTTGGTTTATTGCACTGAGCGTAAGTTCTCTTGGTCAACCGTTTTGTTTGGTGAACATAAATATTTACCGTTTACCATGGTTTAACTCCTGTAATTAATTGCTTTCTATTTTAGGTGCTGTCTCAGAACATTTTGCTTTCTGAGAGTGCTCATCTTAAAATTGGTGTTCCAGAAAACTATGATGGTATTTTCCCATGGTACCTCACCAAGGTGAGTTCCTTCTGCAAGGAGGACAAATGACTTTGGAAGGTTTACATATTTTAAGTCCAGACCGAAGCTTTAGTTTATCTTATAAGGAATATATATACTAGCTGCCATAAAAGTACACTGTAAAAAAATAATAATAAAAAAGGTAAAAATGCGGCTTTAAAAATCAGTAACATGGTTAACAGTAGGTGTTCTTAACACACAGTTGAAGTCAGAAGAATTATTAGCTCCCTGAATTATTAGCCCCCCTGTTTATTTTTTCCCCATTTTCTGTTTACCGTAGAGAAGATTTCTTTAACACATTTCTAAACATAATAATTTTAATAACTCATCTCTAATAACTGATTTATTTTATCTGTCATGATGACAGTAAATAATATTTGACTAGATGTTTTTCAAGACACTTTTATGCAGCTTAAAGTGACATTTAAAGGCTTAACTAGATTCATTAGGTTAACTAGGCAGGTTAGGGTAATTAGGCAAGTTATTGTATAATGATGGTTTGTTCTTTAGAAAAAATATAGCTTAAAGGGGCTAATAATTTTGACCTTAAATATAAACTGCTTTTATTCTAGCCGAAATAAAACTAATAAGACTTTCTCCAAAAGAAAGAAATTGTCAGACATACTGTGAAAATTCCCTTGCTCTGATAAACATCATTTAAGAAATATTTTTAAAAAGCCAAGGCTCGAATCAGCTACCTTCTTGCTGTGAGGCGACAGCACTACCTACTGCGCATATACCTACTTACCTACCTACAGTACCTATACCTACATACCTACAGTACCTACCTACCTATCTACCTAACAACCTACTTACCAACCTACCATCTATCTATCTTATATTAAGTCTTTGTAACATGGTGTGTTTATAAGAAAGTGTCTGGTGCATATAGAGAGGAAGAAGTGTGTTTTGTAATGTTACTAGAAACAAGATCAACATTATAGAGCCTTCATTCATTCAGTCGTTTTCTTTTCAGTTTAGTCCCTTTATTAATCAGGGGTCGCCACTGAGGAATGAGCTGCCAACTTATCCAGCATTTATTTTACGCAGTGAAAACATTAATACACACTCATTCACACTCATACTACAGACAGTTTTATCACACCCAATTCACCTGTACCACGTCTTTGGACTGTGGGGGAAACCGAAACACCCATGCAAATGTGGGGAGAACATGCAAACTCCACACAGAAATGCCAACTGACCTAGCAGAGGCTCGAACCAGCGACCTTCTTGCTGTGAGGCGACACCACTACCTACTGCGCCACCACTTCACCTGTAATAGGGCCTATGAAGTTTTTTTTTTTTTTTTTTTTGTACAGTAAAGTTTAAGATGAAATATGTTCTAGGATGAGTAGAATAGGCTGAGTGGTTCAAACAGATGACTAGTAAAGTGTTATTAAAAGCAGAGAAGGTAAACAACTATTACAGGATGATACGTGTTGCCAGTTTTCAAACAGTGGTTTTGTTTACTAGGCTGATGAAAAGGGCATTTTAGTAATCAAGACCTTATATCAGAAATGCAGAATATCCGCCTTTTTTATATCGTGCATGATGCAGAGGTGTGCTGTTTCACTGTATAGACCAAGCAAACTGATCTCTGAGACCAAGATTCTGAACCATTTAGCAGTTTATCTCTGTGGACATGCATGTATTGTCCCTCTGGTGACCAAAATACCACAAGGATTACTGACTGAAAGAAATTCTTGTGCATGTTATTTATAGAGTGAATTAATCTGGTTAAAATGGACCGTCCTTGCGCTGTGTTGTGAATGAATAAAGAGTTCTGTGAATGTAATAATGACTGCTCATAAGAGAAGAGAAAAGACTAAAAAAGCAGAGCCATTCAATAAACCCTACATACTGCTCCCCAGAGCACTCAGAACTCAAGGTGCAATTATATATATTATATAGCAGGCATTCACGCACCAACCAGTCGTCACCAAACTAAATATGGACCCAGCTCCTGTACAATGCCTTCCTTCAAACCCCATGTCTGACATCTTTACCAGATGTTTAGTAATAGCCCAGTCGCTCTCCAAAAAGCTTTTTGCTTTGACACTGTAATTGGCGGCATTACAGAAAGACTGTGCTTCTAGTTCATCATTTTCTGCAGTTGACGCCATGTTATCAAAACAGTCTCTCTGCAGTGTCCAAATCAACTATAATGGCCTACATGCGAGTGGGTGGATAATTACCCACAACCTATGTGATCACTAAAAGGACAGAACGATGGCTGCGTAATATTGGTTTAGACTTACAAAAATAAAGGACAAATGGGGCATTCATGTATTTATTTATTTATTTATTCATTTGTTTGTTTGTTTGTTTGTTTGTTTGTTTGCTTGCTTGTTTGTTTGTTTGTTTGCTTGCTTGCTTGCTTGCTTATCTTATCTGAATGTTGTTCTATTTATTTATTTATTATTTGTTCATTTATTTATTTGTTTGTTTGCTTATCTTATCTGAATGTGGTGTTCTATTTATTTATTTATTTATTTATTTATTTATTTATTTATTTATTTATTTATTTATTTATCTCATTAGAGTGTTGTGTTTTATTTGTTTATTTATTTATTTATTTATATTGTTTGTTTATTTTATTTGAGTGTTGTATTTTATTTAATTTATATTATTTGTTTGTTTATCTCATTAGACTGTTGTGTTTTATTTGTTTATTTATTTATTTATTTATTTATATTGTTTGCTTATTTTATTCGAGTGTTGTATTTAATTTAATTTATTTATTTATATTATTTGTTTGTTTATCTCATTAGAGTGTTGTGTTCTATTTATTTATTTATTTATATGGTTTGTTTGTTTGTTTGTTTATTTTATTAGATTGTTGATATCAGGCATGTGAACTGTATTTCATATTGAATGGGATAGCTACTAAGTGCCACGAAAGTCATGCTGGGTGTGATTAGTGTTTTAATCAATCTTTACTTTTTCCTAATATACATTGACATATATATATATATATATATGGTATATATATATATGGTTTATATATGTATATATATATATATATATATATATATTTTTTTTTTTTTTTTTTTTTTTTAATAGAGTAACATAAAAAGATAAAAAGAATTAAATACTGGCCAGGCCATTTGGGAATCGCTGGTATGACACTGGCCCTTCAGATTTGTCTGCTATTTAAGGCGTGATCACGCTGTACTCGTTATTGGATATGCCAGTTTTGAGCATAATGCATTTATAATATGTATCCTCATGCCCAGCTTAATTCAGAATCTTTATGTGCATTGGTGTCGACCACTGAGCCACATAACTGCTGTCAACAGCAGCTGCTATTGGTCATTCACAGGCATTTAGAGGAGAGCTCAGTCAAACAAAATTACCATCTCACTGACCGATCACACTGCACAATCCTGTTTTTACACTCGCAGCCAGTGATGTACCTTTCAAGTGGAGTCAGAAAAAAAGCATAATTAATAGTTCTGAGCATATGAATTTATATTTAGTTGTATACACTTTGTTCCACACACACACACACACACACTCACACACACACATACATACACACATACAGTGCTCAGCATAAATGAATATACCCCTTTTGATAGTGAATGTTTTTCGGTTTCTCAACGAAATATAGGCAATACTTAAAAATAGTAAAGAAAAATTATTATTTTTATTATTATTATTATTATTTTATTATATTTTTTAATTAATATTTGTCTAAAATATATTAATTTGGGTGTACTAATTTTTGAACTGTGATCTTTATTATTGTTGTTGTTGTTTTGGCTTTGGTACTAACTAATATAATAAATATGCACAAATATATTATTGTAAAGCATCCTATAGACCAGGATGAAACCATTCTTCTTTTGGCTTGCATGTTTGTGTTTTTGTATAATTCTATACATTTTTATTAATCTTACAGTTGCCAGATCTCCCTCTGACCTATTCTGATCTGACTGTAAATGGTGATGATGAAGGGATTTTTGGTGTGGAGTCAGGTTTTCTGTATGCCCTTAAACCTCTGGACCGAGAAAAACAGCCATCTTACTCCTTACAGGTAAGAATCCTAAAGAGATGTCTGTCTGTCTGTCTGTCTATCTGTTCAAAATAAAACCAGCATCCACTTCAATTATTTTATTCAGTTACATTGCTGTTAACAGATGTGTTATGATGAAAATAGGAATTAGTTTTGCTTTTTAATATACTACTAATCTGTCTTCAAACTTTGAAATAAGAATATTGTAATTTAGGCCATTTATTTGCTGAAAGTGACAATAGGTCAACTTACATTTATCATTAGAATGTTTATATAGTGTTTTACAAAATTTTATATTTACATATTTATTTTTGTCGAGCTATTATTGATTTAGACAAATAAATTGAGCAGACGAATGTACATATTCCCAGAGCTATTTGTCTTTATTTCAAGCTACATTCAAAACACTGACTGTCACATGGGTCCCTGACTCTCAGTTGAAATAAAACCTACGTCATTGATTTGCTAGATTTTCAAAATGCAAAAAAAAAAAAACACATCCGGAGGTAGTCCAAAAATAACAAACGCTGACAGAAATTGCAGGCCAATGAAACGTGAACCCAAAAGGGTTTGAGCTCTAATAAGACATGCTGCTTGAGTGCTTTGACCTGAGTGCTTTTTTTCCAGGTGTCCTTCACAAAGTCCATGCACACTCAGAGCTTCACCGTAGAGGTGTGCGTCATCGATAAGAACGACAACGTACCGGTGTTCCTGGAAGAGAGCATGAGAGGCAGCGTGCAGCTGGGTCTTCTCAAAGGTGGGTGTGTGGAGCTCAGCGGGCTCTGACTGACAACTCTTTCTGCTGGATGACTTCTGCTTACACTAATTGCAACACTTGACTTTTTCTTATTTTTCAGCCATGACATGCCATGCTAAATGAGATGCTAATTTGTTAGTCTGAATGTCAAACATTTTCCACACTATACCATGAATTGGAGTAGCGTAATAGCACACAGTAGTTGTAACTGAGTGCTGTATATATTTATCTATAAATGAGCAATATCACACGAGCAGCAGTGTGATATGGCTGTATAACAGCACTGGTGGGATGCGTGTGTTGGTGCGAGGCCGCAGGCTGAGTGCCTTAGTGTCCCACCAGTGATGATATACAGCCATATCACACTTCTCTGAGTGAAGTATTGTGTTTATAAAATAGTTTGACAACATAATCATGTATATAAAAAAGATAATCAAACACGAAGTCTCAAAAACACTTTTTTAAGAAGAACTACTTTCTTCCACCCTTCCTTCACATTTGCAGCTGACGTCAGAACAGCAGAAACCATTGCTACTTCACAAACGTGCACTTTAGAGCTAGTATTTGCACAACTCTCTATTGTAACAGGTGATTTTGTTGACATTTTAAGATTATAAGGCTGAATGGCATGAAATGCCATCAGTCTACAGAGATTTTATAGTAATTCTCTGTTGCATTCGGGAGATCACAATAATTACCCCAAAAAAGCCAAAGCAAAGCAAACACTAGCAGATTACTAAGGTATAAATACAGCACTACAACATAAAAAAGACAGAGATTAAGGGCTTTATTTTGACGGTCCATGGGCAGAGTGCAAAACGCAGGGCGCAAACGCTTTCAGGGCGTGTCAGAACGCATTTTTGCTAATTTACGGACGGGAAAATGCGCTTTGCGCCAAGGCGTGTGGTCTAAAAGGGTTGAGTTTATTTTCTTAATGAGTTATAGGTGTGTTTTGAGAATAAACCAATTAGAGTCTCATCTCCCATTCCCTTTAAGACCCAGCTGCGTCGCGCCAAGAGCGCATTCGCTATTTACACTAAGTGGAAAAAATGAGCATTTCACAAGCAAACAGTTAACAGTTGACAATTTTTTAACAGAAAACTGTTAAACAGAGCATCTACTGCGTGAGAATGAGAGATAAATGATCTACTTTCACATTCGCTCTTGGATAGGGAAACCTTTACACACAGACATCAATTAGCCTATAAATAATTAATTTAGTTTGTTAAGCGCAAGGATTTGTTTCAAAACTATTTCTAATTTCAGCTTTAATTTCATAGCAAACGAATAAATGAACAATATAGACCAAGTGTGGTCAAAATACTGAGTTATTTCCAAATACACCTGCCATGCCCTATATGGTCTAAAACCTGACAGGTGGGCAAATCTAAGCTTGTTTTTAATAAAACAAATATAAATATGGATATATTAAATAATACTGCTAATAATAATAACATTATACTAAAGCAAATTGTTATGAATGAACAGAAAAAGCCTCCCGAGATGAAGACATAAAAGCAGTGATTTTTCATATTTATGTAGGCTAGAAAATAATATGTTTTGTAATATTTTAATTCTTTATATTTATATCCTATATCTATTCTTATTATATCCTATATATATCCTTAATATTTAATTTTTTTCATATGTAAAGATATTTGCCTATTGCTCTCTTGTGCGTATTAAGCAGTGTGTAAGCGAGGCGCAACTCTGCGCCAGAGTTTAGACCGGGTTAGTTTTGGTCTAATGAAAAATCTATTATAGTTTCTCAAAATAGCAACGCGCCAGCGGTCCGCCTCAGAACGCATTCCTTTTTAGACCAGAATGCCTATGGGCGCACAAATGAGCGATAATGCATTTGCTATTTAAACAGCGTAGCGCAACGCCTCAAAACAACTCTTGCTCCAAGCTGAAACTTCCAAAAGACTATTGCGCTGCATCTTGCGCCACACTGTGCCGGGTGTATGATAGGGCCCTAACATAGAATGTCACTTACCTGATTTATAATGATTTGATCAGTTGTAGTTGTTGTTTTCTCCTCTAAGGGCTTATTATGTGGTCTCTGTTGCCATCTTGTGGCAGAACATCAATCGTCTTTGCTCTGCTCAGTATGACAGGCTAGCCACCAACGTGCTGAATCTCTGAAATTATGAATATTTAAAATAGGCATGAAAATTATAAATAAACGACGTAGTTGCAATCTTAACAACGATATTCTTGTCAAAATAGCCTCAAAAGTACATTATGTTATCATTACTTTATTTTCCTTTAATTTCTGTTTTAGAATTAATTTAAAAACAATTATATTGACGGTTGCCTTTTTCACTAATAAGTTTTTAAAAATAATAATGTTCACTGACTAACTTTCATGATTATATTGTTTTGCTAATATATAAATAGCATAGTAACAGAATTTGACATAGTAATTGTCTGGTAGCTTTTTTGGTCCCTTTTTACTTTCTATCATGAGACACATGAAGAGCCCGACATGAGGAAAAGCTGTTTTACATGTGCATCATTGCTGTGATGAAAGATGAAATGCTCTTGAAGCTCTGGCAGTTATGCGCTGAACATTTTCTCTGAAATGCTTGTTTGCTTGCTGAGATTGGAGTAAATAACAAAAAGAATCATTTTTTCTCATTAATGATCAGAGATTACTCATCTCTCTTATTATAAGAACATCTGAATTAAAAGGTTTTGTACGGAGGATGAAAACGAACATACTGATTCAACATCCATTATCAGTGCAGTGAAGTCATCTTATGTTGAATACGCATTTCCAATTATTCCAGTATTGAACATTATTAATGCCCTGTGTTGAATGTCAGGCTGGTTGTGAGAATGTAAGCTGTTTTGCAATCAGTTGATTGCAATCAAACAAAGAAAAGGGCCAATTAAATGAATTTGAATGTATTCTGACTAAATTAAGCTCTAAAGACAGCTGTTGATAATGATTTTACGCATAGCCCTCTTTCTAAAAAAACGGGCAGTGGTGAACAAAGTAGTTGAGTAAAAATGACTCCAGCTAAGTGTTAATTTTCAGATGTACTTGGATACAAGTAAAAAACTTTCTACTATTAAAAGTAAACTGTATGGAATTTTTTTTAGCAAGGAAACTTTTTATTAAAACTTAACATACACTTATAACTGCTACTGGTTGTTAATTATAATTTAAGTGTGCAAACAGGTCAAAATATCTTAAAGTTTCTGTAAAAAAAAAAAAAAAAAAGGCTGAATAGTGAGCCTAAAACACCATTGTTTCTTCGTTCTCATGTTAATCTTGAGAGTGTAAAATCCAGGTGTAAAACAGAGCAACCAGAACCAAACACAGACTGTTATGTTGCACACTGGATCATTAATGTGTACATCCCTGGCAGCATTTCATTGGCCACAATGTTTGCCTTTGAGTTTACAACAATGATATTTTACCAGTTGTTTTTAAGTTTATCTCAGCTTGTATTCATCATGGCGAGGCAGTGGCGCAGTAGGTAGTGGTTCGAACCTCGGCTCAGTTGGAATTTCTGTGTGGAGTTTGCATGTTCTCCCTGCCTTCGCGTGGGTGTGCTCCGGTTTACCCCACAGTCCAAAGACATGCGGTACAGGTGAATTGGGTAGGCTAAATTGTCTTATGGGACTAAAATTGGATTAATAAAGGGACTAAGCCGACAAGAAAATGAATGAATGAATGAATGAATGAATGAATGAATGAATGAATGAATGAATGTATTCATCATACTATGTATGTGGGACTCTTATTTTGAATATTGCAGAGGCTTTAAGGAAAAGTAAGCAGTTCTGTGAAGCAGACACTCATACATGTATTATTTGTTTCATTAATTACCAACACTCTCGTCATTCCAAGCTTCAGAACACACAATATTTTATAATATGAAATAGCAATTAATATGAAAATTGTGAAATTAAAGCTAGGCCTGTAGTCCAGAGATCTAGTCCCTGCGTCAGGCCAGGGTGCACCCATATAGCCTTTAAAATGTGCAAGCGGCAGTGGAGGCACACTCTATACACATACACTGGAGAAAACTAGACTAGTGGGTGATGTGAATTCATTACATGTTTTTGTCTTTAAATACAACTCTCTTGAGCTCTAAAATAAAAAAAAAGAAGAAATTTGCCATTAAATTAATTTTAGTAGAAATGCAACTGCCAGTCATTTTCACATCAGTTTTTCAGATAGAGGATATGTAGCATAATAAAAATGTTTAGTTCACTGCACAGTCCAACAGTAGTCCACACTATTAGTAATATTTTAATTCATTATATTATTGATTATTTATATTATTAAAATTAAGCTAAAATGAACAGAATGTTTGTTTAAATGTTTGCTTTCATTTTCAAATGGCTAAAGCGCACTTTTACAGTTGTGAAAAGTAACATCCCATTATACAGCAGCGGTCTAGTTAGGACACTTAAAAAATGCCTTTTGAGTTTAAAGATGATCGGCCTGCAAAGTCAAGTTTGACAGTGTTAGAAATAAAATAGGTATATAGTGTGTGAGTAAGTGGATTTGCTGCAGATCAGCCTCTCACATACACTGCTGGTAGGCTGAATAATAATCTTAAAAACAATGCAATTTAGGCTATACTGCTATTTGCTCATGCAAAATAAACACTAGAAAATATACTGTAGGGCTATTTTAACAGTTAAAATACTGTTGGTATATCGATATATCAGGTTGGATCTCAGATTTATTGCGCTTTTTAAATAAATTTAAAAAAAAACAAAGCAGCTGCTTGCCATTGCGACAGCAATAAGAAGAAGGTTGCACTCAGTTGCAACCTTCGAAATCTTAAATTCTTAAGGGCCCTTTAAAGTGTTCAGTTTTGTACTTCAATATAACAGCCATGATTGTTTTCACTCCTAAGTGCCCTTCAGAGGATGATATATCTTTGTTGGAATGTACCATTACTCTGACCAGATCCTTTGAATCAGTGAGATTATGATTCAAAGACATGTACAAGTTTGTTTCGTCCAATTTACAACCTAATTGTTCCCTGCAAATTGTGAACCCATTTTACACGTTATTGAGCTTATTCAAATTCATTCAAATCAAGCACAGTAAATAGAAGATGACATTTCTCTGTTTCATTTTTTTATTTATTTATTTACTTTCAAACATTTGAATTGTAAGTGGTATTTGCTTTTAAATGTTGCTTTGTGACCAATTCTGTTTGCTTCCTGTTTCCTTTCACACTGTCTGTATTAATAAAATGCACAGAATTATATTTCTTAGAAAGAGCTATTTCTGAAATTCAGTTGTGTTAATATGCAAATAAACACCATTTGCTCATCAGTCTAAATGTGTCAATCCAGTCTCTTCATATAGATTGTAATAAAAAAATAAATAAAAATAAAAATCTGCTGTCTGTCTGTGTGTTTGTGTCATTTTCACAGGTATCCCGTTCATGCAGGTGGAAGCGCTGGACCGAGACGACCGAAACACTGCCCACGCAGACCTGCGCTTTAGTCTTCTGGACCAGATACCGCGCATCCCTGCCAGCCACATGTTCTCAATCGACTCCATCACTGGAGAAGTGTCCCTCACAGAAGATGGTAATACTTGTCTCTGACTAACATGATGATTAATGAATAGTCTGACTCATATATTCGGTAAAGAAGAATTAATAATGTATTAGATCAGTTAGTGCCTCCATGTCATTGCGTTGACTAATCAGACCTTGAAAATATGGAATACTTAATCTGTTATGTGAGTATTGGGTTACATTTTAATTTGGGCACCAATCAACAGTATTAGAAAAATGTTATGAAAAAGGAGAGTTCCAGTCCTTGATTCTGATTGGCTGAGCCAAATGGGATGCTGTTGTTAAGTACTCTACAAGCATATGCCTTTGACTGTTGCATGGCAACCATTCCACTATTGAAAAAATGCACAAAAGCATGCACATAACTTTAAATGACTGCTCAGCCAAACAGCAAAAATTGCAAAATCATATATTCAAAAAGGCAGCAATACCAAAGCTCCAAAAATAGCAATTTATTGAATTAAAAAATTAATTTGTATTTGAAATATGACATGCCTTCTAACAATTCCACTATTGCAATTGCTTTGCTTTGTTTTCTGAAACCTTGATATGTTTATAGAATAACCGATTTATAAAAGTAATAAGACACATGAATCTGTGTTTTACTATGACTTTATAAGGCCTTATCATACACCTGGTGCAATAAGACGCCAAGACGTGTTTTGGAATGCGTGTGTTGCTTTTTTCAGACCAATGCAACCCTAATTTTCCCGTTTTGTGCCATGTTGTTTAAATAGCAAATCCATTTGAGCCACTTTGTGGACTCATGCGTGTGCCAGTCTAGAAAAGCGGTGTGTTAATGCACATTGTTTCTATTTTGAGGAAGTAAAATAGACTGTGCAATAGACCAGCTGCAGGCAGATCTAAAGTCCAGAGCAGAGCGCATTAGCTGTGCGCCTTAAATGCGTCCACATTGCTTAATACACAAAGGATGTACAGCAATATGCAAAATATCTTTACATATGAAAAAGAATTGAATAAAGTATTACAAAAATTATTATTTTCTACATCAATATAAAAACCACTGCCTCCTTGTCTTCTTCATCTCGGGGAGCTTTTTCAGTTTATTCATGATAACTTGCTTTTGTTTAATGTTATCAGTATTATTATTATTAGTAGTAGTAGTAGTAGTAGTAGTAGTATTTGTTATATGCACATTTATATTTGTTTTATTAAAAATAAGCTTAGACCTGTCAGGTTTTGGACCATATGAAGCTTAGCACGTGTGTTTGGATATAACTCTGTTGTTTCAACACACTTCGTTATTACTGTTCATTTATTTGTTTGCTAAAAAATTAGAACTGAATTTAGAAATAGTTTTAAAACATATCTTTGCGTGTATAAACTAAATTAATTATGTATTCTAAAGGATGTCTTCAGTGCTGTGAATACAACACCATTTCATTATCCACAAAAGAGAGAAATAGAAAGTAAAGAGGCCAAACGGAGGAGGCTCGTTCTTTATCCTTGCACTGCAGATGGTCTGTTCAACTGTTTTCTCTCTGGTAAAGCGTTTAGATATTCCACTCACAAAGTCCGCCATGTAAATAGAAAATGCACCATGGCAGAATGCAACTGACTCTTAAAGGGAATGGGAGATGAGACTCTGATTGGTTTATTCTCAAAACACACCTAGAACTCATTAAAATAATAAGCTCAACCCTGTTAGATCAAGCACCGTGGCACAGAGTGTATCTTTCTGTGCTTAAAATAGCAAAAGTGTATTCAGACATGCCCTTAATGCTTTTGTGCCATGTGCTTTAGACTTTGCACCTACAGTAGATCATTAAAATAGAGTATTCTGAAAGGGGGTAGCTTTATGTCATACCTTACCAATTTTAATATGCCTTGTTTTCTTTATTTTTTTTCTACTAAATGTACAACATAGTAGAATATCGGTCTGATGCATTTTAACTCATTTGGATGATCATTTATTTTCATTTATATATTTTATTTACTTTATTATTTTACTTTTTTTGTTTGTTTGGTTTTTAAGACAATGTTTACAGCATAGAATATCTGTTAAATGCATTATCACTTGTTTTTTTTTTATGTAGAATTTTTTTTTTTCATTCTAGTTCTTAAGATGTGAACCTAATGAGACCAAACCTAAAGGACTTTGACTCAACTGAAAGGACTGAGTATATAAACACCATGAAATAATGAATCATTACATTGATGAAGGCTTATAGTCTTTATTTAATACATTTTTTGCGTGCAGACCATCTTTTGCTTTCACCCTTAGCTGTTATAATTTCACTCTAAACCACTGCTTCTCTGAGGTTAATTCAACGCAATCTTACAGCAATTCTGAACTTTTTGATTTGGTGGCTAATTTGTATGAATTCAGACAATCTATTTTATACATTCTTACAATTCTGTTTTGTACGATTTGCTCATCACCAAATGACGATTGGGTTTAGGGGTGGGGTTGGGTGCTATGTCTCCTTTTTAAAATCGTACATTTTCATACAGCTGAACTCATACGAATTTGTATGAATTAGCCACTAAACTGACAAAACGTAAAATACTTACATTTTCTTGTGAGATCGGGCTGAATTAATCAGTTAATCATTAATCAGGTTCAATAATCTAGTAATATTACACTTATTAGCAAGATATTAATAGTGAGAATTGGTCCTCAAGCTGAAGTGTTACTGAATTTTGGACTGATGGCCTCTGAGACACAGAAGCTGAAAGAAAGTGTCCCTTCTTGTCTTCATCTGTCACACATTTCAGCCCAAATTCACCATGAAATCTGCTAATAACTCTCACCCTTTCACTCAGTTAGTCCATCACGCTCTGCATATTGCATTGTTAACACAGCTGTTCACAAGATTGCACCTTGGTTCTTAAAACATGGCCACAAAATGAAAATGATTTTGGATTACTGCCAAACCTCACAGAGCCAAAAAAGCATGCTGGTTAATTTGAATGAGTCAGAAAGACTCCGAACACATCAGGTCATCTCACATGAGTCTGGTTCAAACGCACCCAGAACAGCCTGGCATTAACTCAGAGAGAGAAAAACAGAGAGAGATAAAAACAGGATTAATGCGCTCAGAGTGTGTTTGTACACTGTGTTTTCATGTGCCGTTTCAGACAAAAGATGCTTTTGTAATCCAAGTCTTTAGTGCTGGCTTTGATTTGCTTTGAGCCATGGGGTGATATACCTTGTGTTAAACCTGCTTGATGGTTAGGTAATGTGCAAAACCTGCAGCCATTTAAAGTTTAAAGTTACATTTGACTTCTTTTTTGTTTTGTTTTTTTAGTGAAAGAAATTAATCATTTAACATTCAATCAGAGTGTATTAAATGAATTAAATTAAATGCCACATTAAAAATGCTATAGAAAATTATATAGTATTCGGCAATCATACTGTAAAGTGTATTACTTTGTATGCTTTATACATTCTACTTTATAATTTAATGTACACTTTATAAATTGTAGTATTTACAACTCTTTGGTTATGACACTGTATTAACTATACCGTACGGATAAACTGTAATAAATATTATAGTACTTTTACTACAGTAAGTTGTATTGATTTAAGGTAAGGTGTATTTAATAACATACTTAGATATAGGGTATACTGTACATTGTACAGATATTTTTACATTAAATCTGAGAGTGTAAGATGCGTGTTGTGTGGCTGACAGTAATATCAGTACATTATGCTGCCCATAGTAAACGTGCATTCTGACGACCTGGCGAGGAAAATAAAAACAATGGAAAACAAATAGACAGATTACAGTTGAACCACTGAAGTCACATGGAATGTTTTGGGAATGTTTTCAATTTTACAACCCCTTTGGAGGGCTAGAGAGCTCTCGGAATAAATATCTTAATTTGTGTTTCTAAATTGGTTTCTAGGCATTGAAATAAGGGTGAGTTGTTAATAACATAAATTTCAGATTGTTTAAACATTGTTCAGATTGTTTTTTCTCATTACACAGTATTTATTTTCCTTTGAGTCTTTTCTTTTTCTACTACTTGTGTGTGTGTGGTGTGTGTGTGTGTGTGTGTGTGTGTGTGTGTGTGTGTGTGTGTGTGCGTGTGTGTGTGTGTGTGTGTGTGTGTGTCTCTCTTTCTCTCTCTCTCTCTCTCTCTCTCTCTCTCTCTCTCTCTCTCTCTCTCTCTCTCTCTCTCTCTCTCTCTCTCTCTCTCTCTCTCTCTCTCTCTCTCTCTCTCTCTCTCTCTCTCTCTCTCTCTCTCTATATATATATATATATATATATATATATATATATATATATATATATATATATATATATATATATATATATATATATATGGACTTCTTTAGGCCAACTCAAGGACCAGTTGTCCTGTGAGGGTCCATGTGTTTGTGAGTGCATGTATATAAATAGTTAGATTTTTGAACATGTATTGAGTATTGAAAACTTCATGTTTTTTTTCCAAACATTCCAAACATTAAAATAAAACAATACAAAAAAAAAAATCAGAAAAATTAGTTATGTGTATTAACAAATAGGACGACACAAGAAGAAAGTACTAAACTACTGAAAAGTGTTAAATACTTGAACTAAAATACTTTTTTGGTTATGGCAGCTTTAAGATGACTCTCAAGTGGAGAATGAAGTCACATGAATTGCTCAGGTGTGAGTTTTTCACAGGCTTCAACAGTGTAAAAATCTTGATGGTTCTGTGTCCCTCGTGGAATTTGAGCTTTAATTTGTATTTTATATGAGATTCAAGTCACGTGATTGGCTCGGCCATTCTACAGCTTGATTTATTTATTTTTTCTCTGAAAGCATTTTAAAGTTTCCTTGGCTGTGTTTTGGATCATTGTCTTGCTGTCTTGTCTCACCCTGGTTTCATCTTCATCATAATGTAGGCTGCTGAAAAACTACTGAGAGATTTCAGCTGCTGTCGGGCTTTCATTACCTTTTTACACCTCCCTTTCTTTGTGTTTTCAATACTTTTTCTCTGCATCATTTCATTTCATTACACATAACTTATTTCTTTGATTGTTACTAACATCTGGTGAAAATTTCAAGTCAACGACACCTTTAGGAATGTGTGTTCAAAGAAAAAAGGTGGCTTGTTCAATACATATTTTCCCCGCTGTAAGCATAGATACCTTTGTAAACGTATCCATCTGTGCAGGTGCTTCAACATTGGATCCAGAGATGTGTGGCCGCTACAAGCTCTCTGTAATGGTGCAGGACATGGCAGGCAAGGCCAATGCTTTCTTCTCCACTGGAACTGTGCTGGTGGAAGTGACTGGGAATGCATGGGCCTCTCCAGACCCTGTGAGGCTGCAGGAGAATCTGCCTGGACCATATCCCATCCCAATCTCACAGGTATGATGAAAAGAGCACTGGCGGCATGACACAGATGGGCATAGGTGAGTATGTTTCATATTGCGTGCATCCTCTTCAAAGGCGAGTGTGGCAACATCCCATAATTGCACAAGGCTTTCATCATCACATGACCTCTTGTTAGATGTTCAGATTTTGTGATATTATTCATGACTCACTGCCATCTTAGCAAAAATTCCCATATTTGAAACACCTAATATTGTGATGGTAAATATGCTATATATCATACTGCATAATATATTTATAAGAATATGTACGGTTTATATTAGGACTACCGAATGCTAAGGAACATTCTGTTGTTCTCAGTTATCTTCAGTGAAACTCATAGCTATAGTATTTCCATTAGCTGACCATTTTTGTTGTTTAGTGAAATGCCCTGTCAATCATCTTCTCACGTCCTCCACATGTATATAACATTTAACTTCTTTTCACGTTGTAGCAGTACTTTAATCTGCCAATGTATTGTGGGTAATATTAGATATTAAAATGTGCATTTACCAGAAATAGAAAACCATCTGCAACACAGGTTCATTTTGAAAACGTAGCCCTATACATTTCTGGAGATGGTGAATTACTGTATGTAGCCAGTGCTACAAATGCTGCATTTCGTTTTTAAAACGGCAGTATGACACCATTCCTTCTCTTGCATAGTTGACCACTCACCTCTGTATGGACGGCTTTCCTGCTGTTACTAGTTTGTTCAGTTTATTCGCCATGTATGTCGGTGGACTTAAGACACTGAGAGGAGTTGACCACTATGACGGGGTTCAAGTCCGGTAAAGAACGGTTACAGAAAGCAGGTAAGACAAAAACAGAAGACAAAAAATGAAGTAAACAAGTAAATAACTTGAGAACAGCAGGTACCATTGGCACTCACGTGAGATATTTTAGATCTCCAAAAGCGTACACAGCGGCCTCTGGCCGATTCACGAGAACAAAAACTGCAAATAAACGTAGCTCCTGGGACACATTTTGCTCTCTCCAGAAATGTGTATAGGGGTATGTAATCTGAATGAGCCTGGCTTGACCATTTGGATAACTTTGGAATATTAATTGTTTGGTATCATACTAAAGTTTTGGTGCACACTCATTATTTTTTAAAATACTTTTTAGGATGCAAGGTGTATGCCGCATGGAATGCAGCATTTCTATGAGTTCCATGAGAAATCATTTCTATAAATTATTTGATTATTGGAATAAAATATTTAAAACTTTGAAAGATGTGTTCGACATAGCTCTGAATACAAATCAACTTCTGACCCTTTTTGGTTTGGCAATAGATGCAAACCTTTCAGTAATAGTCCGTAAGGCTTTAGCTTTTACTACTTTAGCAAAATGTCTCTCCACCCTTTTTGATGCATGAAAGAAGTGTTTAGTTGCATTAAATCACTTCCTGGTTCTTTAAAGACCTTTGAGGTGTAGCACCCCTTTTTAGATTATTTGCTGGCTGACTCTTATGATTCAATAATAGATGAATATTTAATTATTATTCATTTTCATTTTTTACCTAATTATCATCATCATCATCATTATTATTATTATTATTATTATTATTATTATTATTATTATTATTATTATTATTATTATTATTATTATTATTATTATTGTTATTATTATTGTTATTATTATTATTAGTAGTATTATCATTATTATTATTATTATTTCCTTTTAATTATGTTTATTTGGTTTTGTCTATGAGAAGTTAAAGGCTGTTGAGGGAGAAAATAGTTTATTTGGGGTAGTGTTTACAACAATAATTATAAAAATGAATGGTGCAATTGATATTCCAAGTTGAAAACTTCAAAGAAATTTAAAATAGAAATTATCCTTATACATGGGAGATTTTTTAGGACAAAAACCTGAAAAGTATCTTAAAATACAGCATATCTATGTATGTGGTAACCACTGCTGAATTGACTGGAGCCAATTGAATTATTAGAAAATAATGCTCTCCTGTTATCAGTTATTCCTTATATAATATACTTGCTCTGTATTTAATATAGAGTATTTACTTTTTTACATCATATCCATTGGCTTAATTTGCTTAATTTTACTTTAATTTGAACCGGAAAGACTAAATCTGTTGGTTGTAGGAGGTGTAAAAAGATGTAAAAAAGTGACATGAGAGAAAGGCTCAAATACAGTCAGCCATACTAGTGTGTGCACTGCACAGTGTAGTGGAAAGTGTGTTTGCAGTATCATCTTTTATTACAGTAACAAGTTGTTCGTGGGTTTGTGGCAAAAAAAAAATAAAAAAATCATCCTCTCTATACTGTATCAATGCCTCCTACACACACCACGCATTTCCACCCACTACAAGTCCTGGATCACAAAATTTTTTTCTCTGTTCCAGCCAGAGTTACAGTGCAAGTTACTCCAGGGATGTTCAAGCTGTTTGATTTATTGCTATGCTAAAAATATTAGGCCTGTTAGAATACTAATTATAATCACAACACTATAAAGTATATCATATATCATACATATTTTTAAAACGTCTTGGCTAAATAAACTATTTGGTAAATGTGCTTTGTAGCAGAATGTACTGGATGTGTTCATTAGGGTATTTTGAAGTTTACTTTGTGGTTATACATAGGCTTGTCGCAGTGATTAATAGATTGACCTATTGTTCAATACATGGTCTGATTTAGCTGACTGCTCTGTCCTTTCTTCTGCTCTATGAGGTGATGTAGTGTTCAGACAGCTAGCAAACAGTAAATAGTGACAGGTGAAAGTGTTACTTAAGCTGTTATGTAGTGTTTTCATGACAACTCCCTCCGATTTAAAAGAATCAATCCAAAAAGATTTAGTTTCAAAGGGGTAACCTGCTGTGTTTCCTTTCAATTGCTGAGATATAAAATTAAATTAAATTAAATTAAATTAAATTAAATTAAATTAAATTAAATTAAATTAAATTAAATTAAATTAAATTAAATTAAATTAAATTAAATTGAATTGAATTGAACTGAATTAAATTAAATCGAATTAAATTGAATTGAATTGAATTGAATTGAATGTAACTAATTTGTCATTTTCATTCAGGAAAACTATTTGTATTACAATTTGCATTTAGGCATTATAAAATATATATTTATAACAATATCAAAAGAAGACTGTTTGTTAAAATAATTATTTATTCATTAAATTACATAGTGAAACAGGATCAGTGTGTTATGTGTGTTTGTGTTATGTTATTAGTCATGCATTATCATTGTTATTAGTTTAATGTTAAATCATGGTAATATAGACTAATAAAAATACCCTTGTTTATCAACCTTTTTAAAGGGTGCACTTGCAATATTATTCTAATAAATTTTCTTTTTATAGTCAGAACCATAAAATGATCTTAAAGGGGACCTGTTAGGGGAGCGCGGGGCACAAAGTAATGCAGGGCAAATTGTAACACCGAGTTAAAGGTATTTGCTCAGGGTTAACCATGGCACGCTTCCGAGGTTTTCACCACAGTGTCGGCAGACGTCTTCCTGCCAATTATTGAAAATTTGGATGAGAAACACAGGAGAAACCCTTTTTGTAGCATAAAAGTATTTTATTATAGTTTTTTATAAAAAAAAATCTGTAAAAGTATGTACGTAAAATCTTATATTGTTGTGATTAACATCTTCTAGGCTATAAAGATGAAATAATTTTGAAGGATATAAAAACACACAATGACTGCTAGCCAGTTTTGAGGAAATCATGACACAGATGGGTTAGTTGTAACAGGGTGTTACTATTAAGCCACACACTGTTGGACACCAAATGTTTTTTTTTTAATAGAGAATATTTTTATTTGAAAAAAATGTTGCTAATAATGCAAATAAATGTACTGTATAATGATGAATACATGGATAATGATGCAAATAGATTCAAATGTGTTTGTCCAATAAACAAATAAATACGTAAACATATTGTGCTATGTAGAATAAAAAAGAAATGAGCCGATTACTGAGGAAATATAGCTACTATTTTAAGTAAATTGAATTTAAATTAATTGTGTGAAATCTACCTTTAAATGCATGTGTTACAACTAATCCTCTGTCGGTTACAACTTGCCCCGCAGGTTGGGTAAATAGTAACAGTTTTACTCCTGGGACTTTTGGCAATACTACACAGAAACCATAGGTCCGGCGATCATAATTGCAGTGCTCATTGGTAGGAGAAGCTTGTTATTAGTAAAAAAAAAAAAATGTTTTGTCTAACCACATTACTTTTTTCATTATTTGACCAAAACCAAAAAGTGTTCCTTTGTGCCCCGCTCTCCCCTATGCAAAAATTACTTTTATAAAGACTTTTTAACACAGTTGTGTGGCAACAGTCTGTAAATATACTGTAAGCTTCTAGTAGTAAAAGGTTATTAATTGTATTTTTTATAATCACACTTCTTAAAAACAGTCTGCAGAAACTCTTTGATTGACATTCTCACTTTGTATGTATATGTATGGGGAAACACCACCATGATATCTCCCTTATTAGCATAAGATGTTAGTCTTGTTTTTGAATCTGCAACTATGCTGACACATAGGCATTTATAGCTCTGCCCTCTTTTAAAAAGATGGCTGGGAGCACAATCTCATATGAATTTAAAAAGTCAGTCACTAAAACGGCACGATTAAGATTAAAGCCTAAAATTGAGAGTTTCAAAAATATTGTGTGTAGTATTTTATTGGTATATTAGTTTAATGGTGTATTTGTATATTGTTAAGCACAATATTTATTTGCCTAAATGACGCACACCAAAGAATTAACAGATATTGTGATAGGACTAGTATGGGATACTGTATACAGAGCTATACAAGGTTACAGAAATGAAAATGATGCTGTGAGGATGGATAATATGAACCAGTGGATATACAGACTAATCATCTGAAGGAAAAAAAAGAAACAGAAAAGCTGTATCCAGAATATAAGTATGATCTTCACAGCCTTATTTCATCTCATTAAAGGGATAGTTCACCCAAAAATGACAATGTACTCACTATGAACTC